GATAGATAGATAGATAGATAGATAGATGAAAACCAAAATAAATACATAAAGTTAAGAGATTTCTTTTTAGAGAGAGAAGGGTTGCAGCCTTCAGGCCCCTTCAGACGCCTTGTCTGTCGGGTCTAGCCATTGGTCTGAGGAAAAATAAAAGTGAACGGGACTTGGATTCTTTCACGGCCTACACGTTCATTCTAAAATCCCAAAGATGACAGCCCAGAAGGCTCCACAGAGCTCATCGGTTCTACTTTGTCCCATGAGGGCCCGCCATGAGTCAGAACTGACCGGACAGCAATGAGGTTGGAGTGGGTTTGGCTGATGGCCATCACACTTTTCTGGGCTTTGGGATCCAGAAAGCTTCTGAGCTGCCGCTAACCCCCAGCTCCTGTTCCCTACAGACTGGAAGACATCCTCGGCTGTCCGTATGACTCAGTGGAAATCTTCGACGGCCCCCGGATCGCGTCGCTCTCCATGGGGAGGTTCTGCGCGCCGGTCGCGGTCATCTTTTTCTCCTCCTCGGACATCATGACCGTGGTGTTCCGGAGCGACGCCATGATCACCAACATCGGCTTCTACGCTCTGTTTAACGCCATCTCACCGAGCGAAGGGGAGTCAGGTGAGAGGAGGCGGCCTTGAAAAGACCAAGCAACAAAAGAAGCGTTGTCATGGGAGGGACTCCCCACCTAGCTAAGGTCGGGAGTTGGCTTTTAAAGATGCCCACAGTTAGCACCTCGTCCCTGCTCTGTGGCCGCTGACTTGTCCCTCGGAGAGGGCCTTGTGGACAGCCAACATGAGGGTACCAGTGTGCAGCCTGGATGTAAGCTGCCAGCATATCCCTCTCTAAGGAGCCCTGGTTAGTACTCGGAAGCTACTGGAAAGGGTGGCTGTTCAAATCTACCTGCTACTTCTTGGGAGGCAAATCCTGGTGACCGCACCCGTAAAGAGTTACAGTCTCATAAACCACAGGGGCAGTTCTCCTCTGACCTATGCCCTCTTTACGAGTCAGAGCTGCCTCGATGGCAGTGAGTTTGCTTTGGGGTGAGGTGCAGGGTCTAAGGAGTCCTGGTGCCACCATGGTGAAACACCTGGAAGCTAACAAACGGTTGGAAGATCAAATCTACCAGCCACTCTGTGGTCGGAAAGATCTGATGATCTGATCCCGTAAAGGTGGGCCAGTTTTGACTCCACCCTATACAGCCACTATGAGTTGGGATCCATTTGGCACAGCATAGCAGCAACAGGAAGGGTCCTGTGGCTGCCCAGAGGGATGAAAGGTAGAGAGCAAACCCTCCTGTGAGAAGAAGTCTCTTGCCTCCGCCAGTGGACCCTAGAGTCACCCAAGGAACTCCTGCCATGGCCTTACAGGCAGTCATTCCAGAGCCAGGCCCAGTCTGACCCTGTCCACACACTGCCTGTCAATCATGGGGTCTCTGATGCTCAGGGGCTCTGCAGAAGCCCCAGCAACTCTTGGAGGCCACCCAGAAAACAGGTAGCAAGTCCCTGGCTGCCGTTTGGAGGTGCTGTTGTCTGAGTAAGGGAGTTCTCAAAGCATGGTTGAGAGCCGACCTGAGGAGGAACAGTGGGTGCCAACACTGGAAATCCAGACCACGTATCGGTTTAAGACTGACCAACCAAGCATTGGCCATGTCAGGCAGAAGGCTATACTGGCTCATGGGATTTCCAGAACTGTGGAATCCCAAAATCTGCAGGTGGCTGCTGTTGGCTCATGTGTCAAGAATCAAAGGGCAAAGGATGACAAACGAGATACCCAAATCTATTGGATTCAGACCACACCCCACAGTAAATTCCACTTTCAACTGTTTGGCTGTTCACATCATATCCTAGAATGGAGGGTGATTAATGGCATCATATCTGGCAAACCACTGTGAATCATAGCCTACCAAAGTAGATACATAATCTCAACCATCACCCCCCCACATAGCAAAAATAACATTCTGCTCTCTTTAGATGAGCCGGTGCTGCGGTTAGTGGATGGCTCAGGTCGATGCTCAGGCCGCGTGGAGATCCTACACCAAGGGGCCTGGGGCACCATATGTGATGACCTGTGGGACCTAAGTGAAGCCGAGGTCGTGTGCCGCCAGCTTGGGTGCGGACGGGCCATCGCTGCCCCAGGAAAGGCCCACTTTGGCCCTGGCTCCGGAGACATCCTCTTGGATAACATTCAGTGTTCGGGAAGTGAGAGCCACCTTGGCCAGTGCCCCAGCTCGGGCTGGTCAGACCACAACTGCGGCCACCATGAGGATGCCAGCGTCGTCTGCTCAGGTAGCCTCTTCTCCCATCCCAGGACATCTGCTATTTCAGCCACGGGTGCCTTAGTGACGGACAGAGACCGTGTCCTGTCCAGGGAAGGGAAGAAGGAAGGCGGTCCAGCAGATGAATGGCCCTTCAGTCAGATAGACAGAGAACACTTGGAGACTATCTCCATCCTGAGGACAAGCATAAGAGGGTGACACATGGGTTGTCTGCATCCAGCCCCTGCCAGGTGGGGGTCTGCTTGCCCAGAATGAAAACATATGCCATTTCTCATGCAGCACGAAGCCTGCCTGCTCAGGACCTGGCCACCCTAGAAAGATACCCCTTCTCTGCCCTCTGGGAACTCAATTCTGACTTTCTAATGTACTTTTATTTCGACTTCTCATGTGTGCAGGTGCCGGAGACTGGGCTCCAGACAAGACGCCCACGCCCTCAGGTAGGCGTCCAGCTTCCTGGGTTTTTGTCCTTCTGGATTTTGGCCCTCCGTTGGTTTCCACAGACACAGGGGTGTGGTCAGAAGCCTGGTCACATCACTATAGGTAATGTCCATCTCAGGACAGCCTCGACCCAGTGACCCTGTGCACTAAAGAGGAAGCAAGCCCGTGACTAAACCCTGCTTGGGATTTCTTTGTGACGGGTCTGAGATTAGGGGAGAGGCTCCATCTCCAATCAGGGAGGAAAAGGTAGACATGTGCACACATCGTATTAAAACCCAAGAGTAGCAATAGGTTCATTCCTTTGTACTTAAGCGTAAGATGAATGTATGATGCTAAACTTTCTCCTGGTTTTCTCTGGTGCTCTTTCTACAGCTGCCATGTCTCAAGCCCCTGTCCCACAAGGTAAACTCTCTTTTGCTGAAAATATTCCCCTTGCATCATGAAGTTGAGTGGAACCACTTTGATAACTCACAAAGGCAGAATAGGCTTCTGTCTGTTCTAGATGCCACGGGGGGAAGGGTGGTGCCCTCGCCGTAGGTGGTTTACCCACATTTGAATTGAACTGGTCTGCACGCAGGAGAACAGTGATGAAGCGTAGGCTGAGCACCTCCCTGTGCCCCGGGCACATGTCCAAACCATCTACGCTACAACTATGTCTGCCACCAGGATGATTCCCCCCATCCCATTTGGTGATGCCAAACTGTTGAGGTTGATGGAATTTTGGATGTGACACCTGGACGGAAAGGTGCCTGATGAAGCCAGCGCCAGATCCCTTGTCTGTTCTTGCAGGAGGAAGCAGCTCTTGTGGTGGCGTCATCTCCAGCCTCTCGGGCTCCTTCTCCAGCCCTTGGTACCCTACGAACTACCCCACTGATGTCGAGTGTGTCTGGGTGATCCACGTACCTGAGACCTTCCGCATCGAACTGATGATTCCAGCTCTGATGTAAGTAGCTCTGCCCTCCTCTACTTTAAAGGCCTAATTCCATTTGAATCCCTGCTTTCCCCCAAAGCCATTCTGTGGGACACACCTTTTCACAGTTTAGGTGAATGGGGGTCCGGTCATCTGAGCTCGTTGTGGGCTACCCTGGAGTCAGCCCTCAACCCATGGTAACCCCAGGCACAGCAGGATGGGGGTCATTGTGAACATAGGAGTTTGGGGGCTTTGTTAAATGGACTAAATGGAGGTCATATTTCAGACTATGAGCTGCATTCAACAGTTCAAATCACTCATCAACCCGCTCCCCCATATTCTATTCCACCCCACCTCCCCTGAGTTCTCGTGTCCCTCTGCTGTATCTCCATCCTCCTTTACAGCCAAGTCTGTGCCTGTCCATCAGTTCATCGTTGCACCCTTACCCTCCCTCCCTCCCTTGGGAGCCTTCAAAGTCTGTTCCTGTTGATAAGCCAGTATTTCCTTGGTGCGTGTCCTTACAGAGGTGGTCTCGTACAGTATTTGCCCCTCTGTGATTGACTAACTCCCCTCAGAATAATGTTCCACCCGTGTCATGAGGCGCGTTGTGGTTCCATGATTGTTTTTTAGTGATGCACTGTAATCCTTGGTCTGTATGTACCAGATTCATTGTCCATTCTTCTAGTAATGGGCAAGTGGGCGGTTTCCACCTTCTTGCTATTGTGAACATGGGAGTACATACATATCTGTTCATATTTTTTTTCTCTTATTCCTTTCGGGTCTAGACCCAGCAGACATCTTGCTGACTCATATGGAATTTCTATTCCCAGTTGTCTAAGGTAGTGCCAAATCGCTTTCCACAATGGCTGTACGTATTCACAGCCCCACCGGCAGTATAGGAGAGCTCCAATCTCTTGGCACCCGCTCCAGCACTTGTCATTTGCTGGCGTTTTGCTTTGTTTTGCTTGGACTGGGCTCTCAACGTTGGGGTCAGGTGGGGCTCATCATTGTTCTCATTTACATCCTCAGACGGCCAGCGGTTGTGAGCATTTGTTCAAGTGTTGGTTAGCCATTGGCATGTCATTTCTGGTGAAATATCAGTTCATGACCTTTTCCTACTTTTTGATCAGATCATTTGTTTTGTTTTTCTTATTGAGGTTTTGTAGTATTTTATAGCCTTTAAAGATTAGTCCTTTATCTGTTGTGTCATTGCTAAATAATGTTTCCCAGTTCGTGGGGGTTTTCCCCTACTCTTGCTGAAGACTTTTGTTGCACGTCAGTGTCACTTTTAGTAGATTCCGGTCACCTCTCTGGTTTTCTCCTGTGTGTGGTGCCCTCCTTAGATTTGATGGTAGGTCCGGACCCTGCACTTGGACCCTCGAGGTCATTACTGGTTCCTCGCTGGTGCTCTTTATAGCTCTGGGATTGGCATTTAGGTTTTCTATCTAAGTTCCTTTTTGTACTTAGATTGAGGTACACATCCTGTTTCATATTTTCTGTGGATGGAGATCCAATTTTTCCAGCACCATTTGTCGAAGAGAATGTCTCTTTCCTGTTTGATGTTTTTCGGGCCCTTTGTTGACGACTGCTTTGCATGCATTTCTTTCTGGCTGTTCTATTCGGTTTCATTGGTGACCATAGGGTTTTCATTGGTTGAAGATCTTAAGAAGAGATCCCCAGACCTTTCCTCCTGGCCTTTCTTGGTCTGGAAACCACACTCACTGATGCCTGTTCAGCATCGTGGCAGCAATTCCTTGACAGTCAAGTGGTGCCTGCACTTGAGGTAACACTGGCCAGAAATCAAACCCAAGTCTCCCAAATGGAAGGTGAGAATTCTACCCCTGAACCAGCCACCGAGCTTAGTAGAGCCTTCTTAATCCATTGGCTCAACTTCCTACTGGATGGAAGAAGACCCTTGACCATCCCTAACCCTGGCCATGAGGCCTCAGCTGGCCTGAGCCACCCATGAAGACCTTATCTCTTCCCTCCCAGCCAGTCCCTCCCTCCCACTGAACCCAGAGCTATTCTTCATTCACACTCGCTGGTCTTGACTCTTCCCTCTGGTTCCTCCTTTCTCCAAGAGTTTGTATTGTGTCCCTGCTAAGATTCCTCTTCTACAGGTGAAAAGCCCTGTGGACTTGCTCCTGCCAGCATAGTGGACTGCTTTTCACAGGACCACCTGTAACTAATGTCAGCTGAGGTCACCTGTGCTTTAAGATTTGCATACTTTGTATTTGAACCACCTTCTCCTTCAACTTACCTTCCATGCTAAGTGAGCCCACATCCTCACTAGGATTTCTTCACATTGGGGGAGGCTCATACTCTCTTGATCATTTCTTGTTTCAATATCCTCTCCTCCCCGAAGGTGGTCTTGCTAGAGCACCTTCCAATGACTTACTCTCCTCTCTGTCCTGCACTGGCCAAGTGTACATTACACACACACACACACACACACACACACACACACGGGCGTGGATCAGCAGTTATGGCTTGGGGTGACAGAAAACTAGAGCATGCATGTTAGGAATGCAAAATTGTTTAAACTTGAAAAAGAGTCCCCTCTGTGTGAACCACCCCATCCTTCAGACTTTCTCACTCTGGCCCCTTTGAGATGCAAGCCTCCCTAAGAATGTGTTCCCTCTCTTCTCTTTCCTGCTCATCCCTACCCCCAAATTCTCTTCATATTTGTACAGAGCATACTGTCCACCCTCTTCCCCTGACCTCCTATCAGACAGCACCCACACCCCTCCCTTTTCACTCCTAAACTGGGCTCTCAGTGTGTCTTCCTCAACCGAAATAGCTCTCTCCCAAGAAAATGCTAGGACCGATCCTTAAGGTAAGACACTTCATCCTAACCCCCATTCAGATACGCAAGCCTCCATCTACCCCATTGACAGAGCAGCAAACAAGCTGTGGTGACTCTGTGTGCTGGCGACATGCCATGTACAGGGTGCCTACCACCGTCAAGCACCTAAACGCTCTACATGTGCCATCTTGTTTCAGCCTTGCTGTGCACATCTGGAGGAACCCTGATGGTACTGTGGGTTAGAGAGTAGGCTGCTAGCGACAAGGTTGGCAGTTCAAACCCACTAGTCACTCCAAGGGAGAAAGATGAGGCTGTCTGTTCCCATAAAGACTTACAGTCTTGGAAACCCTAAAGGGGTGGCTTTTGTTTGGTCTGGGTTTGGTTGGACAGTGCATGGTTATCTCCATTTTAAAGATTTGTAAACAGAGGCCGGGGTGGGTCCGGTAACTGGCCGTGGTTCAAGTACTATGACTACAAAGCCCTTGCTCTGCACACAGAGAAAGAAGGGCTGACTCATGCTGGGGTGCACGTGGAGTGGGGGGAGAAAAGGGTAAGTTGGTGACAGCACTGCACAGTGGTGACACTGACATTGAAGAATGGGCAGGTGCATGCCAGGGGACCCTTGAGAGCCCGGCACGTTGACCAATATGCCTGTGAAGCGGCAACGTGACAAAGAAAAAGGTGCAAGAAGATGCGACTAGAGTTAGGTGAGGCTGGATGAAGAGGGCCCCAGGGAGAAAGCCACGGAGTGTGGGCTTTACTGGGATGGTACAGGGCGGGGAGCTTGAAAGCCAAGAAATTGGGGGCAGGGGGCGAGGGTGTGAAACCGTGAAATGAACCAGGTGAGGGCTTAAGAAAGCCTGTGGTGAGCCAGTCCCAAGCAGGGAGGAGGGAAGGCAGATCATTAAGAGGTAAAAGGCCCTGGACTCGGTGGGCAGTGGAGATGTGCAGCTGGTAAAGGAGGCAGCCGGCAGGGTGCAGCTGCTCGCCGGAGGGATGCTCCGCAGACATCGGGTTCCGGCGGAGGCGTGTCTGCATGTACCAGTGGGAAGTTACTTTGCTTTGCCTCCTTAGATTAGAGGACATCTACGGGTGCCCTTATGACTTCATTGAAGTGTTTGATGGCCGGCAAGTGGGCTCACTCTCCCTGGGCAGATTCTGTGCTGGGGTTGAACTCACCTTCCTCTCCTCTTCAAACGTCATGACCACGGTGTTCAGGAGCGACGCCATGATCACCAGCAAAGGGTTTCTGGCCCTGTACAAGGCCCTCCCGCAAGATGCGGACAGCAGTGGTAGGTACCCTAACACCCCTGGAAGGGGCTTAGATCTGAGCTGTGCTCTTTCCTTGACAGAGGAGAAAGGCTTTGCCAAGGCTACCTGCAGAGTCCCCTCCACTCGCGACGTCCACTCCCCCACCCCTCACCCCTGCCCCGCCACTCCACGTCATGCGCCCCCGGCAGAATACACAGGCTGAAGAAGCAGAGGGCTCACGGTCTCTTGTCCGGCTCTGGCCTTGGATGTAGCTGGAGGACGCAAGCGAGGGCTGGCTTTGATTCCAAAAGAAAGAGAGAATATGATCGTCTAAATCCATGAAAAATAGCATTGTTCTTTCTCCAAGAAGAAGATGTTATTTTTAATTGATTTGTGCTAGCATACCGTAAAAGAAAAATATCCCTGGGGGAAGGGGGACTAATAACAGCTATCTTCAAACTGCAATCCTCAGTCCAGAGTTCAATACAGAGCTCAGCAGAATTTAATAGAAACAGACTCAATGCAAGCAGCTTTCAGTGCACCCACCCCCTTCAGCCCCCTTCAGTGCTGCAGCAGGACGCAGGGGGCATTCATTCCTGAGCTTCCCCGAGGCTTCTGATTAGGGTGCACATTTCGCTTATCCAAGTGCGATGCTTCTGAGAGTTTAGAAAGAACGCTGAATGAGAAGGGGCTCTCCTCGACCTTCCACAGCTTTTAACCAGGACTTGTTGTTCTGTGTCCCCGAGTTGATGGCACACTGTGAGCCAGAATCATCCCCCTCAAGGTTCCCTGTGTTCAAATCTTTATGGAGTCTGGTCTGTCCCCCCAAGGAGCTGCTGGTAGGTTTGAACTGAAGACCTTTTGGTCAACAGCCTACTGTTCAGCCGCTGTGCCGCCTAGGCTCCTCACAAACCAGAAATGTCCCAGACATATTGGAACCTAGGCCCATCTGCCTAGAGGCCAACAGTCTCATGTGGGAAAGGGTGTCCAGGTGTGGTAAACCCTCTCCACCTGCAGGGGGGTCCCCAAGGAGCAAAGTTTGGGGATAGCAACAGCACTGCTGAGAAGACCCATTTTCCTGTCTTCCCAGATATGTCTCTGCGACTGGTGAATGGCAGCCACCGGTGTGAGGGCCGGGTGGAAATCTCCTACAATGGCACCTGGGGCACCGTGTGTGACGACAGCTGGGACCTGAGTGACGCCGGAGTGGTTTGCCAGCAGCTCGGCTGTGGCGAGGCTCTGTCGGCCCCAGCTCAGAGCTACTTTGATGGCGGCACCGGCCACATCATGCTGGACGAACTGCAGTGCGTGGGCAACGAGGCCAAGGTGTGGCAGTGCCCACACAATGGCTGGTTCTCCCACAACTGTGGTCACCACGAGGACGCCAGCGTGGTCTGCTCAGGTGAGCGCGGGGCACACAGCCAGGAGGGGAAAAGTCCACCTGCAGGCAGCGTATCTGAAAGGAGTCCTCGCTCCAGACTCCAGACCATCTCGTTAAGGGAAATGATCAGAGTTCATCTGAGAGGGCTGGGCCTCCAGGTCTCACCTGAGCAACTGTGGGAACGCAGCACAACAAGGGCTCCTACCCTGCCACCCCGCCCCTGGCGCTGATGGCAATCCCACCTCTGCTGAGCGGGAGGCGTAGTGGTCTGAGGAAGCCTCACCCAGCGCGGTCATTTTCGCATCCAGTCTTCACATCCTCTGTATGAAGGAGATGCTAGTGCTGGTGGGATTCACCATGGAGTTGGCTCTGACTTGGGCGGGCATTGGGCTGTTAATCAAAAAGTCAAGGGTTCGAACTCACCAGCTGCGATGCAGAGGAAAGATGAGGCTGATGGCTCCCGTAAAGATTAGAGCCCAAGAAACCCTTCCCAGAGTCGTTGTAAGTCAGAATTGACTCGCTGGCAATAGGTTTGGACATTGCCTTCATAATCACTGGCTGTTTGAATCCACTGTTGTGGCGGCAGCTCATCGTAGTGCCTCCCACTTGTCTGCACTGCGCCAGACAATAGTCCGCCGTGAGTCATAGGGTCAGTCATCGGCTGGTTTCTGGAAATAGATTTCCAGGTCTTTCTGCTTAGTTTGTCTTCATCTGGGAACTCTGCTGGGAAGCTGTCCGCTATGGGTGACACCGCTGGTCTTTGAAGCGCCAGCAGCAGAGCGTCTAGTATCGCATCAACACGAGAACTGACACAGGACCATGGGCTGACAAATGGATGGTGCAGGTACCGTCACCATCCTAATTGTACTGACCGAGCAGCACAGGCACACCCAAGGTGCATTCAATAACCCTGTTTCTCCACGCTATGTTATGAAAGACTGCTCAGCACTGACTCTTCCTCTCCTGTTACTAAGGCCTGGTCAGCCCAATGCCCCTCCTCTCCATCCAGGGGGGCACTAAAAGAGGCTATCTTAACCAACATTGATTGTTTGTGACCCAACTCTCCCAACTGCCCAGAAGACACAATCTTGGATCATGAAAGCAAATGCCTGTTTTGTTGGGGGGGGGGTGGTGTTAATGAATTATATGACAGCCTAACTCAATCCACCTTTCATTGTTCCCTTCTGTCTTTGACTAGGTATTGATGGCAACTCAAAAGAAGAACCAACAGGTATTGCTCTTCCATGCATTTCAACTAGCTGCTAGGTCCATGGTGTATATGGGCCCTGCTCAGTCTTCAATCCTGAGGGTGGGGCGCAAGTTACATTGTCTGCTGCTCATGAATAAGAACAGTGCAGCCCCTTGGGAACAACAGAGGGCAGGGAGAGAGGGAGGAGGGGACCCTTCTACTCTGTCCCGTAGGCTCACTGGGAGTCAGCACAGACTCGGTGGCAGCAAATTCTGACGAGTTGGGTGCACACGGGTCCACAGGGCTCTTTCTTTCAAGCACTTGTAAAAGGCCCTTAGCATTTTCTCCTCACGCAAACCCTACAAGGACACACAACCATTTTCATCTGCGAGAGGACAGCACTGGGCCCAGGGCAGTCTCTCACACTTGCTTTGTGGGTTCCCAGCAAGAGCCATCCTAGGATCAAGGTTCCTTAACTTCCGCCTTCACTCTACCCCCTCTGCCTTCTAGAAGCTCCAGCCAAAGCCGAGGTCGTCTTCTGATGCGATCTCTTCCATGTTTCTTGCAGATGGAAATCTCCCCTGTGGTGGCTTGCTCACAAACAATTCAGGCTCGTTCTCCAGCCCTTGGTACCCCAAAAACTACCCCATCAATGTGGTGTGTGCCTGGGACATACAAGTGGACGCCGGGGCCCAC